TGATGAGGCCTTTTGAGTGTTAGAGTCAAAAAGCATGCGGTTCTATGTCGTGTGATGAGACTTTCCAGAGTGAATATCCAAAAAGCTCGTGGTTCTATGTCACGGGATGAGGTTATAAATTTTTCTCGTGTCAACATGACAAAGTTATGCCAAAGAAAATTAAACCCTTACACTTTGACAAATACTTTTGCAAGAACATATTTTCCAATTTAGCCATTAAAAAAATTATTTGATCTTTAAAGTACTCTTACAAATGTAGTTATCCCAAAGAATGTTTGGAAAATTTTGGTTGTTCAGGTTGGTGTAAAAATATTGGTTTGAAAAAATTCTTTTACATTTCTAACAATATGGCTGAGAATCTAAAAGTTCATTTCTTCTTAACAAAAAGGTTGATGACTATCTTATTTCTTCTTTCCTTCATAATATGTAGCTTAAACCTTCCCTCTGCAATTATTAATTTGCCTTTATACTTGTAATTATTCAATTTGTTGCTTGAGGGCAAGCAACGTTTAAGTGTGAGGAATTTGATAAGTCAGTTTCGTTCTTATCATTTACATCATATTCTAAACGTTATTGCACGTAAATAGTATTTAATCATCTCATAAAATGTGAATTTAATAGATAAAACTCTCATTTTCGTTCTAAGAGTCATAAAAAGGGATTCCACACGAAATCATCATAAACCATTCATTTTTGTTCAAGTATTTGAGAAAAAGGGAATAAATCATCAAGGGATCAAGATTCGGACTTGAACGAGCTTCCGGGAGGTCAAAAACAGTGTTCGGGGCCAAAACGGAGCGAAATTGGGCCAAAATCACGAAACAGCCGCGAAGCCCAACGGACCAAGGCCTCCAGGCGTCCAACTTGGACGCTTGGCCAAGTTGGACGCCTGGGCTAGATTGCAATCCAAGAAAGACACGTGGCAAAATCTGGTTGGCCGGAGCAGCTCAAGCGTCCCGATCTGGACGCTTAGACTTGGACGCTTTGACTTGGACGCCTTGGCTTCGTTCCTATAAATACAGCGCGATTCTCCCCATTCAACACATGACTTTCACTCCCATTTTCGGGAATTGAGCCTTATATTCCAATTCCGAGTATTAGTTTAGTATTTTAGTAGTTTTAAAGTAATTTTTGGAGGAATTCTACTCCCGATCTGTTCAATTTCGCTTGTACGGAAGTTGTAAGTTCTCTTTACTTAATAAAATGCTGTTTTAATTTATGTTTGCATAGTATGAGTTAGGGTCCGGATCTCTGGGTCCGGACTA